GTACACCCGTTAGAAAAACAGCAGCAAATAAATAAAATAAAGACTATAAAAATAATCTAAAGCTGGCGTTTTTCTGATGCAGGCCCAAGTAAAAATGCCATAGGGCCTTCAGGTTGCGGTGACGCGACCTGGGGGCCCTATTCCAACCTCGGGTCCCGTGAGGGGCCTGTGTGTAGGCTTTCAGCATGTAACACGCCCCCCTCCTAATGAAGACGAGCCGGGGCGCGGGCGAAGCTGCCGATCCGATGGCGGAATGTAGCGAGGATGGCGAGGAGCTGGAGTGCTCTACGTAGTCTTCCCTTTGCTAAGATAGCGTGAGAGAACGGCGGGGGCTGTGGCCTGCAGTTCCGAACGCGTCAGCCAACGGTCAGCCTTGTGGCTGTAGTAGGAAAAGTGAAGTAGAAACTCTATTTCTTTGTTGCCATGGCGCCGGTCGGTGATGATGTAGCCGACCTCCTGAAATCCTTCCATGGAAGGAGGGTCTTGCGTACGTCGACCGGGAAACTCGTCGGACTCCGCTGAAACAAAAGGAGCGAGTTTGGAACAGTGGAACACCGTGTGGACGGGCAAGTGAGGTGGCACCGCGATGCGGAATGAGGGCCCCTCGGGATCATCACCAGCTGCAGAGAGAATGCGTCAAGGCCCCATCCACTTGGGAAGGAGCTTGCGAGAGATGTCTTGCTCAAGGTTGAACTCCGCTACGGAGACCCAAACCAGATCGTCGGCGCAGAACGGGAAAGGAAGGCGATTGCGGTTGGCTTGACGGCTCATTCGTATTTGCGTCTTCGACATCTGATCCCGTGCCTTGACAAGAAGCTCTTGCATGCGACGAAGGAACGCAAGATGGTCATCGCTCTTGGCAGTGCGCGACAAAGTAGCGTCCAGCGGCGATGAGATGGGTGAACCATGCTCAAACTCGAACGGCGACATCCCGATAGCCGGGTGGATCGATGAGTTGTAAGCCAACTCAACGTCTGGCAAGCGCTCAACCCAATCAACCTGGTCGGGACGGATGAGAGTGCGGAGAAGGACTTGAGTGGTCTGATGCGCCCTTTCCGTTTGACCATCGGTTTGCGGGTGGCGAGCCGAACTCGGCTTCAAAGATGAGCCCCATCGCTTGACGAGGGCGACCCAAAAGTCGGAGAGAAAGCGAGTGTCCCGGTCGCAAACGATCTCCTTGGGGTAGCCCTTGAAGCGAATCCAACCGGTGTATAAGACCTCGACTAACTCCGGTGCCTTTGCGTGATAGCGGCAAGGCAAAAACATGGCGTACTTGGTGAGGCGTTCGACGACCGTGAGGATCCCATTAACGCCGGTCTTGTGCTTCGGGAAGGGGCCGGTGATATCCATAGCAATTGCTTCCCGTCGCCCAAGGGGCACTGGTAATGGGTGTAGCTCGCCGAACGGACGATGGTTGCATGCCTTGCAACGCCGACAGACTTCGCACGACTCACAATAGCGGGTGGCGTCCTTGAGAAGGTCGGGCCAATAGAACCGCTGGCGAAGTCGGCCAAGTGTACGGTTGACACCAAAATGTCCGGAGGCTGGCGCATCGTGAAACTCGCCAAGAAGCCGTGTGCGCAAGTGTAAATCATTCGGCACACAAAGAATATCCTTACCCCGTGAATGCACAAGTAAGTAGCCCTCTTGGATCCGATAATGCGAAGGCACTCGATTCGGAGAGGAGCAATTCGCGTACTTGTCGCGAAAGTGGGGGTCGGCTTGATAGCCGCGGATGAAGCTCTCCCGCAAGTCGTCGTCGATCTCGAAGGTAGAGTAGACTGCGGTGCAAAGATCCGGTCGCCGTGAGAGGGCGTCCGCAAAACGGTTTGACTTCCCGGGAATGTGATCGGGGAAAAAGTCAAACTGGTCGATGAAAGTCATCCAACGGGCAATGGTATTGTTAATCGTGTCTTGCGACTTGTAGAATACCAACGGATTGTTATCCGTTACCCATCGRAATGCTTTCCGACCAAGGAGGAAATGTCGCCAACGCTTGAGGGCGTGGACGAAGGCAAGAAGCTCCTTCTTCCGTGCCTCGTCGATCGAATGCACGGGAGGTACTTTCTTGCTAACGTACTCGACCGGGTGCCAGTCCGTGCCATCGTGCTGCTCAAGGATGACCCCAATACCATAGCCCGACGCATCGGTAGTGACCCGCGTAGCTAGAAGCGGGTCGTAAATATGTAGCACCTCGGAGGACAAGAGTGCCGCTTTGAGTGTCTCAAAAGAATGGCGCGCGTTGTCGTCGAAGTCAAAAGGCCGCTCCTCGCTTTGTAACTTGCTTAGGTTGGCCGCGATCTTCGAGTAACCCTTGATGAAGCGCTGATAAGAACCGGCCAAGCCGAGGAAGGATCGGACGTCCGTCACATTCTTCGGCTCGGGCCACTCATGGATGACTTGAATCTTGTCCGCCAACGGACGAATGCCTTCCGGAGAGACAAAATGACCCAAGTATTCAAACTCTTGCCGGACAAACTCGCATTTATCGCAGTTAGCTTTGTACCGGGCTGACCGAAGAGTTTCTAGAACACGGCGAAGGTGCTCGAGATGCTCCTCTAGAGTTCGGCTATAGACGAGGATGTCGTCTAAGTAGACCAAAATGAAGCGGTCCTACATAGCGCGAAACTCGGTGGTCATGGCCGCCTGAAAGGTGGCCGGGGCATTGGTGAGGCCAAAAGGCATAACTACTCACTCAAAATGCCCATATCGCGTCTTAAACGCGGTTTTGTACCGGTCTTTCGGATGAAAATCTGATGGTAGCCCGACTTGAGGTCCAACTTCGAAAAGTACTTGGCGCCGCCCAACCGCTCAATCAAATCGTCAATGCGAGGTAGAGGCCCCGCGTTCTTGATGGTTTGCGCATTGAGGCATCAGTAGTCAATGCAAAGTTGAAGGTCCTTGTTCTTCTTCCGAACGAAGAGAACGGGCGCACCGTAAGGTGAGCTGCTAGGGCGGATCCAACCCTTGTCGAGTAGATCGTCGAGTTGCGCACGAAGAACCGTGAGCTCCTCCTCGGACATGCGATAAATGCATCCTTTCGGTGGCACGGCGCCGGCCTCAAGTATGATCTCGTGAGAGATTGGCCGGTCCGGCACTATACCGGAGGGTGTCTCAAAAACATCCGAGAACTCGTCTAACAACYGGGTCACACGGGGGTCGGAARACACTTCTGTGGACGATGAATCGGTCGTCGGGACGGTTCGAAGCAAAGCGATGCCAATCTCTTCGACATGCTCGGAACGGCATGCGTCTCGAAAAGATTTGGCACTCACGACTTGACACCTAATGGAAGAGCGAGGAGGAGGAATAGTACACGGGACCTGGGCGCCAGTTGCATCACGAATCGTGTGGTCCGCGCTAGAAAGCCAAGGCATCCCCAAAATGACATCGAAGTCGGTGTCCAATACGTCAAAAGTAACGGGTTGACATGCGTGCAGTGCAAAGTACACCGGGACAGCCGAGATGTAACGGTCTAAAAGTTGTTTCGTCTTACCGTCGGCAAGAGCGACCGTCGTCGGATGTGACTTTCTCCGTACTAGTGCGCCAAGGCCAGCCCGAGTCATGAAGGACTGGCTGATGAAGTTGCGAGTTGCGCCGCAATCTAGCAAGGCGTTGCAGGCCGCTTGCCCAATCTGAAAGCGAACATAGAGCAACGGTGCGTTGTTTTCTTCGTACCGTTGCGAGACAAACTCGCGGGCCACCTTGGCAACGTAGCCAAGCATGTCCCCCACCGCGACTTCGTCTACCGTCGGCGAAGTTGGTGGTGCATGGAAGGAAAGATACTCGTGTAAGAGGGCGCATAGGGCTGCGCTTTGCGGCCCCGGAAGGTTGTCTGTCGTAGGGAGAGGAATCCAAGCGAAGTCCTCGGGCGTGAGCGGGTCGAAAGCCTCCTCATTGAACACGCTTGCCGAATCCCTTGATGAAGACGAACTGGCGGAAGAACCTTCAGACGGTGAGAAAGCCGCACATGTATCTTGTCCTTGAGAAGCATCCAGTGAAGGAACGAGCCGGGCAGCGAAGTCTTCGAACGAACGTGAAAGACTCCCGACATCCGCATAGGCCTCGGAAGAAAGGGCGGTCGTGCGCACAACCGCTTCCGATGGCATCGAGGGAGGTGTCGAATCACCCTCGGCGGCTCCTACTTTCCCTGACGGGGTTTCCCCTTGGTGGGGCAATGTGCAGCATCGTGGATGGTGCTGTTGCACCAAAGGCAGTAACGGTACTTGAGTCTCGTGCGATAAGAATTCGCCGAGAGTCCGTATTGTGCCCAAGGTTCGGCGGYGGCTGATCCGGTGCTCGGTGTAGAGGTGGACTGAGTCTTCGTCTTGTCGCGGCCGTGATTGTTGCGCGGCCGGCCACCATCCCGGGCAGCTGCCAACACTTCACCCTCGTTTGGTGTTGCAGCCTCGGTAGAAGTAATGCAAGCCACCTTTGGCTTGGGCTGGGTGCCGCTCGTCGTCGAGGAAGATCGGCCGGCGTTGCGGGCTTCGATATTCGTGAGAATGATCCGTGACGCTGTGCTGAAAAGCTTGTCAGATGTGTCGAGAATCTCTGCAATCTGCGTCTCGAAAACCAAATTTATCAGAAAAATAATTTTTTGGAAAAGAACAAGAATTTCTTGAAAAAAAAAAATTCTCAGAAAAAGAAATAATTTCTCGAAAAAAAAAAAATTCTTGGAAAAAGAAATAATTTCTTGGGAAAAAAAAATTCTTGGAAAAATAAATAATTTTTCGGAAAAAATAAATAAATAATTAATTCCGGGAAATTTCCAAGATTAAATAAACAATTGCCAAATAATCAATCAACTTAATTAATCAATCAATCAATCAATCCATCAATCAATCAGTCAGTCTCAGATGATTGCTGGTTGATTGATCGATTGTTCGATCAATCTCCTGATTGACTGATCAATCAATCGAAGATTGATTGGTGGCAAACCACCATTGATTGGTTGTTGCCAAGATTCATCGCACTAGCTCCGATACCACTTGTAGCATATCAGAAAGTGAAATGCACTGAAAGCCTAGGATCTAACAATGGCGAAAGTGGAAACAACCAGCAGCATAGGTGCAATATTCACAAGGTGTCAATGTGCGCGACGCAAAGAGTGAAACAATGGGAAATCAATAAC